CTTTGGTATAGTTTTGTTGTTTTGCCAAAATGCATTTGAGAATTCTATCTCCTGAGCAGGGACACATTTTAAATACTTTATAACTGCTCTAAATAGCAGATTTCCAATAACAGGTTGGAATAGTGCTTGGCCTACTTTTCTACAACAAGAAAAAAACCATTAAGCAAAGATAGGAACATGTTTGTGTAATTTTGATGCCATTGTCCCCTAAGCTCCACAGGAGGGCTCAGGTTTTTCTCTTTGTGTGCAAAACAGATTCAGCCATCTTGTTGGAGTTACTAGCTACTTTCTAGCCCATGCTTCCCTGCCTATGATACAGGGAAGGAGGGCAGGTTAGGAGAGATGATACCTTGCTGTGGTCACTTTATTCTTTTTTCTAAGAAGATAATTAATAGTTTTTAAGGCTGGAGGGATTATTCTGATAATTTAGTCTGATCTCCTGAGCTAACTGGACGTGGCCTGGAGTCCACATGAGGTGCTCACCTGTCTCCATACAGTTGTTTGGGCCACCCTGTGTTGGACATTACATGGTTTACTTCCTTATTCCTGAACATCCAGGCGATAGTACATGGACATTATAGGGGTGTAAAAGAAGAGAGTAAGGCAGAGAATCTATGGCAAGGAACCTGACTGATCCAGGCGTTTGAGGGGCGCAGTGTCCCCCATAAACTTACATGTACCTGTTGATGTCAGTTAACTAGCAGTTTTTAATCAACTAATGCTCCACCTTATGGGATCTTAAAAAGTAGCTCTTTATTCTTTTTAAATTGAGTGTCTGTTCTCCCTGATCTTTCTGAGTAATAGTCAAACTGGTTCTGTAACTTGAACTTAGTCTCATTACCCTAATGTTACCTTGCACGCAAAGGAAGGCCCAGCCCAGACATGGAAAGTTAAACAATCTTCTTTACAAACACAGTTAAGCCCAAGCCACTGGGCATTTGCATCTACTGCTCACCTGGCTGGATGATAGGACAGAAGTGCATTCCAATAGCTGTTCGGATGTGGAGTAGTACAGAACTGTCTCTGCAAAGGACACCCCATTGTAAGAATAGCTGACTGGAAAAACAGGTGCCTGTGACCCAGGAGATCACTTTGTTCTTGATATTTGCGCTCTTGCCCTGTGGTTCCTATTCAGAAGAAACTTAAATTGAATAAGGACTACAGGATTGGGCCCCAAAGGTCAAATGCACTTGTTTGTAGAAAACTAGTTGCATTGTTTAAGTTTCCACCATTAGATTTTCAATATTATTCCGAATTAGGGTTGTCAACTTTCTACTCGCACAAAACTGAACACCCTTGCCCCGTCCCTCCTCCAAGGCCCCGCCCATGCCACACCCCTTCTCTGAGGTCCTGCCCTCGCTTAGGGTGACTGGATAGCAAGTGTGAAAAATCGGGACCGGGGTGGGGAGGTAATAGGCGCCCATATAAGAAAAAGCCCCGAATATTGGGACTGTCCCTATAAAAGGACATCTGGTCACCCTACCCCCGCTCAGTCCATCCCCCCTCCTTCTGTTGCTTATTATCCCCACCCTCACTCACTCACTCATTTTCACTGGGCTGGCTTAGGGGACTGGAGTTCGGGAGGGGATGAAGTCTCCGGCTGGGGGTGCGGGCTCCAGGGTGGACCAGAAATGAGGAGTTCAGAGTGTGGGAGGGGGCGCCAGGTTGAGTCAGTGAGTTGGGATGTGAGAGGGGGTGAGGGCTTCAGCTGGGGGTGGGGATGAGGGGTTTGGGGTGCAGGAGGGTGCTCCGGGCAGTGCTTACCTCAAGCAGCTCCCGGAAACAGCGGCATGTCTCCCCTCTGGCTCCTATGCGGCAGCATGGTTAGGCAGCTCTGTGTGTTGCCCGGTCCACAGCCACCACCCCTGCAGCTCCCATTAGCCATGGTTCCCAGCCAATGGGAGCAGGGGTGGTGCTTGGGGCAGAGGCAGTGTGTGGAGCCCCCTGTCTGCCCCTATGTGTAGGAGCTGGAGGGGGGACGAGCTGGAGGGGGGACATGCTGGCTGCTTCCTGGGAGCCGTGTGGTGCGGAGGCTAGCAGGGAGCCTGCCAACCCTGCTGTGCGGGGCTGCCAACCGGACAGTCGACGGCCCGGTCAGCGGTGCTGGCCGGAGCTGTCAGGATCCCTTTTCAACTGGGTGTTCTGGTCGAAAACCGGACAGCTGGTCACTCTGTTCCGAATTCATAAGTTCCAGTCTGGCCCATTAAAGTCCTCATGTTAAAGAATAGGGTTGCTAATGAGAGGACTTTATCTGGATAAAAGAGAAGCTGTTTTGAACATTTCCTGTTTAGCTTTCTCTCAATACACCATCGGTGCCAGAAGTTGAAAATCGGGTGGGACTGTAGAGAGAAGAAATAATCTTTTCTGGACTTTCAGCAGGGCAACTAAATGCTGAAGTGAATTCTCTTTCTCTTGTAAAGTGGGTTTAATTCATGGGGATTTCATATCGGCATAAACCATACATTGGTCCATTGAAGTACAGTATGTGATATCCCCACTGTACCGGTCTATAATGTTGAATTCCAGGGGGCAATCTCATTTCCTGGGTTAGCAAGACTTTTTCCAGAGGGCACGCAAATTATACTCTGTAGTAGCAATATCAGTAACAAAGGGACTATATTTTCTTCAAGCCATATGGCTTCCAAGGCCTTCCCATGCATTCTCACTAAAACCTGTGCCATTCTGCAGAGTGACCCAAACAACTTCTTTTTTGGCATATATTACAGTTGTTTTATATTTCTCATTTGTAAAGATGCAAAGCAGAATCCATCGTAAAAGGTGCTAAACAAAAGCTCATAATAGGCTTATGCTTGTGCCATCTCTTGCTTTGACTTGAGCTGTGGTGAGCATTATTCAAAAGTACGTCCTCCTGTATTATTTAGTAGGTAATTATTGGTCTTCATGCATAAAATGAATGTGACATTCCAGACAGATGTTTATTGTTGGTTATATATTTTTTCAAAGTGACAGCCACTGAAATTTAGAACAATTACTATGACAGAAGCCTCCATTTGTACGTTCTGGAGGTCACATTCTTATTACTGACATGCCAGTAACAGCACTTCTGTGGGACTGCATATATACGCTAGCATAATTTGCCTTTTTTAATGCAGTTTCAGTGTGCTGCTTTCACAGTTGTTTTTGGTCTCGCAAGCAACAGTATACAGCGTGGTTTTACAGTGCTATCTTTTTCCACTAGGGGTTGCTGTTGAACTTCTAAAGAAACTGATGTTAAAAAAAACATCTAGAAGAAAAATCTGACAGTACCAGTCTTTCTGATGCTGTACATGGAATGTTTCGGAAGTGTTAGTAATAAATACTTCTATCAGAAATCTTCATATTCTATATATCTGTATATCATACCCCAAGGAACGCAATACAAAGACATCGCTGGCAGTGTCTAATTTTGGCTTTTCAAACTATGTGGGGGATGTCAGGGTTATTTTCCCATGTGTGACATTTATCTTCTTTCACAAACAATGAATGCAGGGTTTTAATTAATTTCCAAGTGCCTCCCAGGATGATTTTTTCCCCTCTAATATATTAATATGATTTAAACTTGCATTCTAGAACAGGCAGTTTGTTGGAAAGGCTTAGCTGTCATTCTGTCTTATCAATAATCTAAACATTAACGTGTTTACAGGGGAGAAATAATATGTCTCTCTTTCTTTTAAGCAACATCAATGTGATTTTTATCTTGAACATATATTAAAGAAAGCATTATGCTGCCTGATCTTTCTTTCCTCTCCTTTGTTCTGAGAAGGTTCCTGTGCCCTTTCTGCCTCTTGCATGTAAAAGACACAGTTTTAAAAGTTCCTGCTTTCACAGTGAAATTCTTAAAAATGCCACCATTCAAAAAGGTTGATTCTTAGTTGAAGAGACAGAAATAGTAGGCTGTGGTAATTTATAAGGTAATGGGGCATTAAGTAATTTAATTTTTACTTTCAGTATCTCCCACTATTAATAGTTAATGAGGAATGAAAACAAAACAAAAACGCTGAGAGATATGGCTGATCAGAATAAGACTAATTTAGCAAACAAGGCACAACATTGTACAGATTTTATTGGAATTAATAAGGAAAATGTTCGGGTAGCAAATGAAAATGTTGTTTCCTTTTTTTGTATTGTAAGTGAAAGCCATAGTTAGTTATGGTATTTCTGTGATATAATATAGAAGAAGTTTACAATGAAAGCAAATATCTTGGCTAATATTGTTCCCATAGCTTCTTCTTTACATATACCTAATAGTTGCAAGGATCAGAGCTCAGCCCTTTAACGATTTTGGAAAGAAAAGCTATTTTGTTTGTCATGGTTTTAGTTTTTGGGTGGCTTTCTGGAGGTTATTTAACCGCTAGACTGTGCTTGTAGGTTAATGGTTATATCTAGCTATCTGTTAGCTACATATTCTGTTAAAAATCTTAAGAAACACTTGAGTGTTTCATTAAAGCAGGTTTTGAAAATGGCAATAATAAAGGATTATTTTAATTTACAGTAATACTCTGTAGTGAAAAGATTGTGTGTCATTTAAACATTCCAGAAAATATGTGAAACTGCTTCTTTTTAGTATGGTTAGAAATTCCATGCTGTTTGGATTTTTTTAATGGGCTTTCTAAGGGCTTTCTAAGTCAACACCTTTCATGTGGCCAGCTGGGAATTTCAGTAACAAAATATAAAATCTATATTGTGAAAAAGAAGTTTGTATTGTACAGTCGTCTTGTCTTGATGGTGTGTTTCTTCTGTCTTGCACTGAGACATAAGCACCAAGAAATCACTTTAAAAAGCAATCACTTTGACACAAAATCTGTCAGACTACGATTTCCAAGATTTGGGGTAGTAATGCTTCAGAACTTAAACAGTTCTCTCTCTTTAGGGTTTTGTTTGTTGTTCTTTGTTTTTTGGCATCTTGTACATTAAATCAGGGGTGTTTTAGGGACAGGAAATGACAGCTCCTGCTTCAAAGTATGATTCTATGTACTGATAGATTTGCCCTTCTCGTGCAGGCAGGTTGCCAGCTTCTGAACAACCTTATTGTGAGAAAGCCATGTCATCTGGACCCACAGCCTTAAACTGCAGGTTAATCACTAAGGAGACTGAAGTCAATTCTCCACTGTCCTGCTGACTATATAAGAGGTAAAAATATTTAACTTTTACAGAACTGTGAATCAGCTTTAGCATATTTTTGAGGAGGGTCACAAAAAATCCCATTGAGACATTTTGTATGATAAATAGGAGCCCAAAAGTTGTATCATATTTGAGTCTCTAAGCTGACAATGTCATCTTCAGTGAACATATAAAGTGACTGACATATGACTCTAGCATATCCAATAAGCCTCCTTTATTCCCCTGAAACTTGACATAGTTTGAATTATTATTATGTTTTAATGGTAGAAATTGGAGTAATTTAAAAATGTATATATTTAAATATTTAGAAATCAAAATGGGATGGCATGCAGCAATGTTACAGCAGGATATAAAATGCTGCAGCAACTGGGGCTGGAGCTGATTTTGTATACTATAAAGAAAACATAATAAAAATAATTTAAAAAGGGTAAGCTACCAAACTGTGGATTCCTGGTTCACTTTTCACTTCTACCTAACTCTTTGTAACTTTACAATGAAAGAGTCAGAAATTGGAGCCAATTACCATAATATGTGGTGCTTTGGTGGGAGCATGTTCTACATCAGACAGTTAAAAGGTTTTATTGCTATTAGGAGCATGTTAATGCCCTTGATAATGTCTCTAGTTGCTTTGTAATGTCTCTTGTTGAAGTATAGAATTCTTTTATCTTCTTATTACATTATGCAGAAACTTGAATTGAAAAGATATTTGCAGGAACATTTAAAGTAGTGCATCAATCAGTTTCAAAGAAGAGAAAATGTTCTCAGAATAGCTTATAAAAGGATAACTGTCAGTTTTATTTTGGATGAAGAAAGAAATCAGCGTAAAAGGCACTTTATTGTAAAAGCGTACTGTGCAATTCAATAAATATTCCATATAAATATAAGGGAGAAGAAAGTTCATAATTACCTGATGACTTAAATGTAATTTAAGTTATACTTTCAGAATACAGCAAGCAGTGAAGAACTCTTCTTTTTTCCAGTGTATTCCTAGTATTAGCTCAAGCCATCAGCAAGTGATAACTTAAATCTCCCTCATAATGACTTGAGTAGATAAAGCATAATTATAATTTAACAATATCACCAAGGAATGTAAAACTTTCAACAAACCACCTAAGTCTATTAGAAAAATACCATTATCACTCTCTCTTTTTGTCTGAACATGATTTCTTGCTATGTGTTTATTCCTCCTGGCATTCCTCACCTTCTTTACTACAAGGTTATTTTGAGTATTTATACAATTTAATTGTAAACCTTTTATGTGATTTAGGTGTAAAACACTTTCAAATGGTATCGTTATCCAGGAAGCCAGTTTTGGTTACTGTACTCTCTGAATCAGAGGTGTCTTGCTATCCTACCTACAATACAATGTTGCAGCCTGAAATGCAGGGAAGGCTTTTTTGCTACTTTTTAAAAATGGGGAATGGCAGAAGATGTTGAGTTGTAAGTTTGGTTGCTGTGCTCATACTGCAAACACTTTTCAGAAGAAATTTAACTTTGGAGGCATGATTTCTTCAAAAATCCATCGTTCACGCCCCTTGACTAGAGGAGGAGAATGGAATGATTTCTGGCTTAACAATTCTGGGTTTGTTTCATGGAAAACATTTGATACAATAAAATAATTTATATGAAATGCACTTTCAAATTTCTATAATAAAGTAATTCTATGCAGGAATGAGTTTTAATTCTTTTTTAAAAATTCTAGGAGTGTGCAGAGCATTCATGTGAAATGTGAAACTATTTGTTTTTCACTCCTACAGCTTAAAAAAGGAACAATTATTTTTATTTGAACATTATTGCTAAAAATAAGTACACTTTCTTCTTGCTCTGAACTCTGCACTTAGTTTCAGCTTAGAGCAAATTTTCACTCTACTAAGTTTTACACTGATTTTTAAAAAAAATTACATGCTATTAATAATTCCCTGGATATGTGGGTTTATAATGGAAATGCTGTCAGACACTGCAAGAACAAATCAGTCAATTATATACATAACATGACTGGCTTAAATTTTATTTTCATAGCACTGTTTTTCTGCATAATTCATTCAAATGGTTTCTCCTTATTTCAGTGGGAGTTACATGAACTCTCTGAACTCAATAGTGTACAATGTGCTTTTACTACCAGCATTCCTCATTTCTTGACCACTCATTCCCTATTGCCTCTATGTAGACCTTTCAGATCTCCATGATTTCTTGCCACAGGTGGAATTTCAGTATCCCAAAAAGGGCTTATTTAATAACAAGAAAACTTCAAACAATTTCCAGAAAGGAGGCTTCATAAGTTATTGAACCCCTGAGAAAGCAATAATTTACAACCAGCAAGTTCGTGGGTTGTACACATCTGTGTATTCTGCTTCAGAAAATAAAGGCCGTTACCATAGCAACTGCCACATAGTATGGAACATACGTTACTTGTGAGATTCAGAGCTTCATGTTAAGAAACCTCTCCTCCTGGCTCCTCCATATGTTACATGAATTTGTGCCCTTCTGCAGGGTTTGCTAGGGTTTGCATGTGTTTTTCATCAATATCTGTTTTCTTTGCCCCCTTTTGTTCTTATACATGTTTCCTCTTGTTTGTAAAACAAAATTATTGTATCTGTATTTCTGAAAACAAAAGCAAATAATCACCAAGCTTTTAAAGATGATACAAGAATGTAGTCAAGCCCAAAATAACCTTCCAGTCTTGTTACCAAAATTGGAACTTGTTCCCTCAATCTACTGTTCATACCTCTTTATTTCATAAAGTGTATTTGACGCTACTTTAATATTTTAGCTTACTTAGTAGCACAGTTAGGGGGAGAAAAAAAGTACCATAGCAATTTCTTTATAAACACACATCTAAGGCATGGTTTGGGAAATATAGGTAGAATACACTGAAAGCTGCTTATAATTTATCTCATATGGACTTTTCAGGGGTTTGTGATTCTGAATTACGTGTGATATTAATTCTTTTATTACCACTTTTATAATCTATATATCTCTAATTTTCCTAACACCACGGTACCTCAATGCCAAACAAATTCTTATTTGATGCCATTTCCGTGCAAGAACTCTACATATATATCATGAGTATTGGATGTCATTTGCACTTCTGCAAATGTTACTCCTGGGGGAATTCTGCACCAATGAGCAATGCAGAATTTTGCAGACAGTAACGTTGTACATGCAGAATTTCCTTTCCCCCCACAGAAATAGGCTGCAGTGCTGCTAGCCGCCACTAGGGGCCACTGGACTCGGCAGAGCCCAACTCGCACACAGAAGACACTGCTGGGAGGAAGGAGAGGGAGCTAGAGGGCTCCTGGCAGCTGCAGTTCCCAGTGTGCCCTGAGGGAAGGAGATGGTGGTGCACAGGAAACTCTGTGCAAGCCTGGAACCACGCGTCCTGCTGTTTCTCCCTCTGGATCCTTGGACTCTGGGGGGAGAGGATGTGGGTATCTGGGGACGAGGGTGTTTGGGTGTATTGGCTGGGGGGGGCCCCGCAGGTGGGGTTGGGGTGGGGGAAGGTTGTGGGTGTCTGGCCCCTGGCTGGGCTCTGGGGGTGGGGGTGAGAGATGGGGCAGAGAAACTGGAACTTGGTCGCATGGGGGTTTCTTTAACTCTCTACTCCCAGGGGAATTTTTGAGTGTGTCTGTATTGTTACAGACATACTTGCTGCCAGGTATTTTGAAATAAATTAACAAAATAATTGAAATTGGCATGATTATGTAGCATTATTTTGACAAATAAAAGTTGCAGAATTTTAAAATATTGTGTGCAGAATTTATAATTTTGGGGGGCACAATGCCCCCAGGAGTAAAATGTATAAACAATAATGCTATTTGATGGGAGAAGTGGACTGAACACATAAAAAAATACATTGACACAAGATGTTTTCAGTCTAAGGTATGAGTTGGGTAAAATGTGAAACAAACTCTGAGCACAGATACAACATGAATTGAACAGTGAGAAGGCTATGGTGTTTAAGGAATTGTACAAACATTGGATGGCATATGGTGGATATAACCTTAACTGGAACGCTTCATGGAAAAGGTTTGGCTTTAGCGAATTTTAAAAGAAAAGAAAGGGGGAGCTTGGCCTTCATTAGCTGGAGAGGTCTTCCAGATATATATTGGGTAGAGAAATGGAGAGTGGACAAAGGAAACAGTAAGAAGGGAAGCTTATGTGGACCAACGGAAGTGGGAGGTATATAGTAGGAGATCAGGGCATGGATGAAAACAAGGTAGGTTATGAAGGACTTGGAATGTGAGAAGGAATGTTTATAATTTATTATTTGTGTAATAGGAGCACGTAGAGGCGCCAACTAAGATCAGGGCTGAGTTAATCTAGGTGCTGTGCAGACGCATAGTAAGACACAGTCTCTGCCCCAGTCTGTATAGACAAGACAGACAAAAGGTGAGAAATGAGAGGCACTGACTTTATGCAGAAGGGAAACAAGTACAGTAAATTTATGAGCTGAGGAGCTTATGATAGAGCTACAGGCAAGAGGAAGATTAACTGGAGTTGGGAAGATAGGAGATGGGTTTGCCAAACAGGAGACAACTAGAGTAGTCAAGATGCATAATTGTAGGAGTACAGAGGTAATGTCTTGGCAGTAGAGCTGTGAAGGAAGTGACAGATTTTGAAAATGCTGTAAAGAAAATTGAGAGATTACACAGAGTATGACAAACTCTGCTCTCAGATGCCCATACAGCTTTGTTGGCTCCACTGGAGTTTTATGAGTGCAGCCGAGAGCTGAATAAGTCCCAATCAGTGTAGTTTTATTCTCCACAGCAGTGTTTCCCAAACTGGGGACGCCGCTTGTTTAGGGAAAGCCCCTGGTGGGCCGGGCGGTTTGTTTACCTGCCATGTCCGCAGGTTCGGCCGATCGCAGCTCCCACTGGCCGCGGTTCGCCTCTGCAGGCCAATGGGGGCTGCGGGAAGCGGTGCAGGCCGAGCGATATACCGGAGCGGCGAAGCGCGGCCAGTGGGAGCCGCGATCGGCTGAACCTGCAGAAGCAGCAGGTAAACAAACT